TTAATAATTACAAATCTATCCAAGAACATGAAAGTAAGAGCGTATATTTGAATCCAGTTGATGAACAGGAAGTTCGACATATAATTAAAACTATTAAAAGTAAACGAAGTTGTGGTGACGATGGTATTTCAATGCAAGTGATAAAGACTTGTGTTGACATTATTATATTGCCACTAGTACATATAATTAATTTAATGCTACAAACAGGTTACTTTCCTGATAAAATGAAGATATCATTAATAAAACCTTTACATAAAAAAGGTTCCAAAGAAGTCTCAGAAAATTATAGGCCTATAGCTCTTCTTCCGAATTCCTCTAAAATATTTATATATTTATCTACAAAAGAATAACAAACTTTTTAGATAAACGTAACATATTTAGTCAGTTTCAATTTGGATTTCGTAAAATGAGATCAACATCTCTATCCATTTTTACATTTCTACATAGTTTGTGGGAAGCTATAAATCTTAAAAAAGACGGTATTGCACTTTTCTTGGACATGACAAAAGCGTTCGACTGTGTTATACACTCTATCTTGCTAAAACAACTTGACAAATGTGGTATTCGAGGCGTAGTAAATGATTTAATACGTAGTTACCTATCGGAACGTAAACAAGCACTATGTCTGACCGTATTTAGCAATAAATGCGTGCAAGAGGCCAGATCAACATACTTAAGAAATATATTGGGAGTGCCACAGGGAACTGTACACAGGGTACTGGGTCCTCTTCTCTTTATTATATATATAAATTAACTGTCACATCTTACTCAGTGTTATGCACGCTGTATACCTATTATGTTCGCTGATGGTGTCACAATATTATTTACTAATAACGGAAAAACAAAAATTGACTACGAATTTGACATAAACAATACATTGAACGGTCTTATTACCTGACTTAAATCACTAAATTTAAAAATAAATAATTCTAAAACAAAATATATGCAGTTTGGTAATTACAAAAAAATTGACTTAGATTTACACATAACTTATGAAAATGACGTTATTGATGAGGTAAACACAACTAAATTTCTTGGTATTACTATAGATAAAAATTTAAATTGGAAACATCACATATATGTGCTAAATAACAAGCTTGGTAGTTATTGCTACGCTTTATCTGTATTGGTCGATGTAGCGTCGGTTGAAGTTGCAAAAAACGCATATTACGGGAACGTATACCTATTATTAATGTATGGTGTCATTTTTCGGGGAAACTCTGTCAATGCGGTTAAAATATTCACAATACAAAAACAATGCTTACGCATAATCTATAGTAAACCCAGTGACTATTCTCTAAGAAGTCTGTACAAAGATAAGGGTTTCCAGACTTTAACAGGAATATATATTTTGGAAATATGTCTTTTTGTACGTAATCACAGTAACTTCTTTACAAAAAAAAATGTACATTCCGTTAACGTCAGAAACAAGGACCGTCTTGTCCTCCCTAAAATAAACAGCACGATCTTTGACCGCAGCACCTATGTAACAGCGATTAGAATTTATAACAGACTTCCAATGGAAATGAAATGTTTAAATGGTGATAAATTTAAAGCTTGTTTAAAAACATGGTTAATTGACAAAGTTTTTTACAATCTTAACGAATTTTATATAAAGACATCAAATATTTGACAATTGTATAACTAACTTAATTATAATTTTAATTTTTGACATTTAAGTTGTAATAAATTTTAATTGAATTGTAATTTTAAGACATTGTACGCCTGATTTAGGTAAGAATTGTAGATCTAATAACTTGTAAGTAACACCTGTATTTTACCAATTCATACAATAAATAAATGTTTCTGATTTCGTAATGAGCACCTCTAAATACCTCGAAAACGATGCCCAACTAGCCATTTTTCGAAAAATCGTGTCTGCCATCTTGGATTTACAAACAAGTGCTATATTCGTAATGAGCACCCCCAAATGCCTCGAAAACGATACCCATATTGCATTTTTTTGAAAAATCGTGTCCGCTATCTTGCTTATCTTGCTTATTATAAGTGCTATATTCGTACAGAGCACCCCCAAGTATCTCGAAAATGATACCCAACTTGCCATTATTTGAGAAATCGTGCCCGCCATCTGGTATTTAGAAATGCTAAAAGTCTTGTCAGCCATCATATATTCAGATATAAATGCCATTTCCAGAAGGATTACCAATAATCTCAGTACAGAGTACTAAAAAAACCGACCTCAAAAGTACGTAGAATTACGTCTATTTGCTAAGTTTTATTGAAATATCCTTAAATTCGCCACTATACAGTACTTGACACTGGAGATAATAAAATCGGTTCTCACTACTCAAAGTATATTGAGAGAAAAACGTCTTGAATTTGAGAAATAGCAAAATCAACCATTAAAATAATGGCTCCTAAGTAAAATTTAGGCACTATTTATAAAAATGAATCTTCATGCCTGAACCCTTAGAGGTGGATGATTTTCTTCAAAATGAAATGAGACCACTATGGAAGTACCCCCTTTCCGACAGAAAAAGAATCATGAAAATCGGTTCACAAATACCGGAGTTATCGCGTAACATACATACAAAAAAAACATACAGTCGAATTGAGAACCTCCTCCTTTTTTGAAGTCGGTTAAAAACAAATTTTTGAAAATTCTTGGCAACTATCTTGGATTTAGAAATTAATGCCACATTCTCAATAAGCTCTCCCAAACAACTCGGAAACGTCTATAACTCTCGTTGTCGATCGACAATGTCGATTATGTCTGTAGGCTCCCAAATCGACATTGTCGATCGACAATGTCGATCATGAATATCATGATAATCATGATAGTATTGGCTAATCATAAAAAAATAAAGCTATTTCTGTATATCTGCTGCAATTCTAGTCACTACATCATCGTCGTAAAATTCTGTCATTAGCAGCTTTATTCAATTTTTTGACAAGTCCCATGTGCCTGTAATTTCACCAAACTATCTTCTATTCTACCTGTCTTTTTTCCTTTTTCTCCCGTACTATAATTTTGTCTGTATTAAAAGTTTTTGTTTTTTTTTCGGTCATAAGGGTATGAATAAATTTACGTTTGCCCTTTTCTGTTACCCGTTGTAGCATTTTTTGATACTTCTAGAAAAAAATTCCCCAAACATAAGCTTTTTTTTAATTTTCTTCTTATTTTTCATTACTCCATACAGCGTTTGCTGAATTGCATCCTCTTCTTTATTATTTTTTCTATGTAGTTTTTCTATGTCATTCTTTGGTAATCCTATTGGTTTTTTGTGGCGGTAGCTAAGTTTTCGAAGAATTGCTTTCGTCGGGGCAGTTCATAGATGGTCGAGGCAATGGATTTTGAGTTGGTTAATTCAGGGGGCCTTATTCCAGAGGGAATACTTCAGTATGGCTATTCAGTGGAAAGATATATACTAAAAGCGGTATAACATTTTCTTACTTTTTCTTTTCATAATGTCGTTTTTATTTATTCTACAAATTTTTTCTCGATCGTGCTTTTGTTTCTGTTCTTTTATTTGCTTAGTTTTCTTCGGCATCTTTAATCATTTTTATCTGTCCGAGATAGCTGCAAATATAAACACACATTTCAACGCAAATAAATACACCTGTCAATTTTGTCATTAATATAGTAAAAATAATATGGTTCCCCTAAAATACATTCTAATGACCATCATTTTGACCTCATTACTATCACTTAAAATTGCGATAAACTCTTTACGTTCCGCAGTAAAGAATTGTCATCTTGTCTGTTATTTGCTTAGACTATTTTTTTCCATCCTCCGAGGTTAATTGTCATGAAACTCTTAGGTTTGCTAAAATAGTCCGTAGTAAACTTGTGCCTGCTGGGTCATTACACAGAGCGATCCCATTTAGTTTATTCGGACAAATGAACTAATTCAATGTTTTAGTTCCTTTACTTCAAGTTCCCTATTTCAATGGAAACTGGGAATTGGGAAGGAATGGGAACCTTTCCGGTTTTTGAAGGACACGTAATGAAATGATCTGTATGAACGACAATTGTTAAATAGGAATGTTTTATTGTTTTCGCTCTTTGCTATAGGCACTGATTACTTAATATGCTGTTATAGATACTTTTTGTACTTTTGAATTGAAAAAATTGAAAAAAAAAAGATCTTTCATGTTTACAGCTGTTATTTTCTTTGTAATTTCTTTTTAAAATTTTCCGTTATAATCTTACTTTTATCTAGAGAGTGTTTTAAAGAAGATACAAGGAAACTATCTTAGGAACAATTTAATCTTTTTTTGTGAAAAAAATTTTGGCATTACATTTTTTGGTCAAGCGTGGGTTGTCCATAAAAATGAATAAAATTGATCAAATTTTTTTAGTGCGTAGACTCAGTTTTATGAAGGGATCATTTCATGCCCATACCATGAAAAAATCGGAACAGCAGAAGTTGGTCAAATTTCATAACATTATTTTCATACAATATGAATAAAATTAACTAATTTTTTATGGTAATAGACTCAGTTTCTTATAAGAATGATTTTATTATACAGGAAGAAAAAATCGGGGCAGCAGAAGTTGGCCAAATTGAATAAAAAGTTTTTTATTATTTTTTTTTTAAAGTTGTACATAATTATAAGTTTATATTTGAGTCTTAAACGAACTAGCAAGGTTCAGACATGTGTTTCACTCGACTCGAACTTGTGCTAAAAGTAATGGTAGTCCATTAATTGCCTCGTTCGCGCCGCCTCGCCTCGCGTCTATAAACTGAAAGAACTAAAAAGACAGGTGAACTATTAAGATACCCTCGCGTCTGTGGCTCCGCAAACCCAAAAAGTTCCTACTAAACTAAAAGACATGTGAACTATTAAGATTGTGCACAAGGAACTAATTCCTTTCGGTCAGTGTCAGAAATTTATTCATAACAAACCCTAGTTCATAAACAACACAAGCCTAGTCCATAGATAAAAATTCAAAGAACTCATTCATCATGAATATTTTTTCATAATTTTTACAAATTTGTCGTTGGCGATGTCCTAAAAAGGGCACCGTTAGTAAGCATAAAGAAGAAGAAATGTCTATTCTTTGTGTTTACAGTATTTAGGAAAAAATGGAAAATTAGGAAATAAAATTTTGTATAAAACATGTTGTCTGTACCAAATTCATAATGCAACGTCAACCTAAAGTGAAATTTGAACAAGTGAAAGTGATTAAAGGTGGTGCTTACAATAAACATATTATTTTAGCTGATGCTAACGTTCCTTCTAAATTATCAATAGATCGACTGAGTAATACCCTTTTCTTTTGTATAAATGCAGACGAGTTTTCTGATCAAAGCTTCCACTTAGTCGTTCTAGATCTTGACACAGGATTAAATGCAATTATACCAGGTATTCAAAATGGTTTTGCGAGCGCCGTCGAACCAGAAGGCGCTGTTTATCTCGGAGGTAGCGACGGCATATTCGAATTCAATTATAGGACATTTGATGTCTATAGGCCAGCCATCTTAAGTGGTGTGGATATTTTCGACATGTATTTCCACAAATATCTCTACTTTGTAGAAACGGCCACTCAAAATCTTTTCGTTTGGAAGAATGGCGGGAAAACAAGCATTAAGGAATTGAATGGTTATGGCATACAACATTTTCTCCTTAACAACTTTGAAGATATATTGTTTGTGAACTCCTCGGGAGTGTACATGTTACGAAAAGGAACAACGATACCGATTACTTTTGGTGGTGCCTCTACAGTTGCACACTTTCGCGGGATGACAGCCGATATAAACGGGTTACCATATCTTATAGCTCAGGATGGAATTTATACGATCGATATGGCACAACGACACGTAGTGAAAACGATACCTATGGAAAATATTTTTGGATTAGCTTTCGATAAAGATAACAATATGGTTTACAGTGATGAACGATCTGTGGTTAAATTAATTCGCCAACATAATCCGGTATTCGTGAATAAAAACTTTTAGAGTTTTTTTGTAAGCACCATTGTTTACCAACAAATGGACATCGGCGCTAAAAAGTGTCCGAACTTGTAGAGCGTTAAAATCACACACAGGGCGTTAATCGCGCGTCACCTTTCGTTTGGTCGACTGAAAGCGCGCTTGTCAATCATGCAGTACCAGATAATAAAAACTTGTAAAAATTACTGAAGTAATGTGAAAAAACAGGATTTTGTGTCATATTTTCATTAAGCAAATATATGTAGTTCTCATTTAAAAGTGTTATTTTGTACAGCTGTTGTATTATTTGATTTATATTTAAATTAATCGTAAATATAAATTACAAAAGCAGTGAAAATAATTAAATTGGTAACTGTCCTTTTCCTAGACATTGCATGCACAAAAGACAGAAAGAGATACGTTATGTCAATTTCAATTGTTCGAACTACAAGCGATTTAAACATCTAGAAATTAATTTAGAAAGAAAGTTCGTTCCGTGGCTTAGTTGGTATAGCGTCGGGCACGGTATGCAAAAGACGTCGGCTCGAATCCGAACGGATCGAAGGAATTTTTTCTGAGTGTTCGATCTTTGTATTAATGATTACAACAAACTAGTGGAGTAATTACACAAAAAATAATTGAATATTAATTCAATAAAAATTTAAAATACAGTGAATAGCGACATCTCTCGCCAGGACTAGTAGCTGTAAAGGTACTAACTGGCTGATAAATCTTTCATAGATTTCTCATAGATGGCGCTACGACTAAAAAGTCGTTGAAAAACCAAAATACAAAGACACAACGCAAGCACATAGAAAAATTCGTTGGGTCCGTTGGTTCGTTCGTGGCTTAATTTGTAGGTATAGCGTCTGGCACGGTATGCAAGAAGACGTCGAATCCGACCGGATCGAAGGAATTTTTTCTGTGTTCGATCTTTATATTAATGATTACAACAAAATATATTTTGTTAAATGTTACTAATAACTAACAAAATACTGAAAACATAAATTCCTCATAGATGACGCAATGGCATTCAATAAAAACTTGAAAATTATAACAAAATACTGTAGTAGTCGTTTTACGGCTTGGGGTTACCTATCAGAAGCCCAAAAATACATTTATATGTTAAGTTCATTGTTATAAGTTGCTATAATTATAAATACAATCAAGAATTGTAACAAGGGTTGGCAGTCATTGGCCTTATTTAAATTGTACCTAATTTAAGCTTATTTTATAATCTGTTGGCTGTTGCTACCCCAAATAAAAAAAATAAAAAAAATAAAAATTCATATTTTTTTGTAAGAACCAAAATAGGGGATTTTGATTCTTACAAAGAAAATATGAACTTAACATAAATAAAATTAGTACAATTAGCAGCACTGATATCGTAGTATATTAGACTCTTACAGGATTCTTATTTCATTTGACGTTTCTCATAGGGATGAGGTAAAGTCTATAGATTTTTAGTGTATTTGATTTTTGAAGCAAAAGTGCTCTCCAAAAGTCTTATTTTTCTGACGTATTCTCTAATGTATAGATGTGTGAAGTGTATTGTATTATATTGAAGGCATAAAACACACAACTATAATTCAAATGCAATTTTAATAGATATTTTAATAAATTTTAATAAACATTTATCATATCTTTATTAATTTATAGGTTCTGGGGACTTCACACGTTTTCCGAGGGTCGCGAACCTTCTTCGACGTGCAGGTTTTATCACGATGTTTTCCTTTACCGAAATGCTCATGGTAAATTTTAAATTAAATTTCGCAAAAAAAATTGCGAGAAACTCAGAGGTGCGAGCCCGGACTCGATTCCACGGCCTCTGCTTGAGAGGCGGTAGGTCAAACCATCAGGCCACCACGGCTTGATACGTACCGCGACTAAAAATGTCATTGAAAACTAAATATGTGGTAACATACAATAAATAAAATATTCATTTCTAATAAGTAGATGGAAAAGTTAGTAGGGTTTCTAAAAAATTGGTTAAGCTTCGCTGAATTCCAGAAGCTAGGCATTAATATAATCAACCTGTTAGTGGCGAAATGGATTTCAATTTATATTGCTGCCGAGTCCAGTAAGGCAACGGACGGTCCGACGGCAAATGCGAAACTACTCAAATGAAAATAAATTAATCTTAGCATCACAGAATTTAATTCATCCAAATATGAAAGGCACATAACACATTTTGTATGCTTGGGTATATACATACCGTATATTATACCCTGTATTATCTTATCTGGTATTCTGCCGTCCGCTAAATAAAACGCGGCTAAGGAGACAAAATATTTTTTTGAGATGTCTTATAAAACTATAACCTAGTTTTAGAATATTGAAATAGTTTAATGTTATTTCAGCTATGCATCGTTAGGGTAAGTTCCGATAAGTAGGGTGCTTCTTCCGTTTCGTGCATATTCTGCGTCCTATGTAAATTTCACATTTTTTTCATAGAATATGTATATTGTTTATAAAATATATGAGACATGAGAGTGTGTTGCTTACATGCATGTAGTACTTATGGTTATTCTGTAACCAAAATAACATTTTGTTGTTAACAAAATAAACCTGAATAAACTGTCCCAAATCTCACCTCCTTCGGCGTCCATTTCCTGCTTTTCCTGATAAATGTTAAAATAAAAAAAACTAAAATATTAAATACAAACATACTTACTTTATAAATACATTAAGCACACGTCGAATACGTGTAATGTATTTTGATTTAATTGTCCAATATTAATAGAATACTAAATATTTTTGACAAAAATATTTTTCTAATTACCTGCGCATTGAAAGTATTTTTATAAGAGAGTTTTTGTACGACCTTCAACGTTGTTAACTACACTACTATGGCCCGCACACATCCTTCAGGTACCCATAGAACATCGAGAAGGACTCAGGTTCGTTTATGGTAAAAAAATATAATCGTTTGAAGTGCTGAGGGAGGACATTATTTTGAATACGTTCTCTTTCCTTTCGTCGATTTTTCTAAGTAAGTACTTTTCATATTTTCTCTGATGTAGTTAATTATCAATACCAGTAAGTATTTATCTAATTTACAATGTTCGTAGAGCTCAAAATTATCAATTTTTACCATTTTAGAGAAAATTAAAACAGTCGTCCCAAACTTAACTACCTTTAATTTAATTATTTTATTCATTATTATATTAATTCAATTATTTAATTTATTTTAATGTAAGACTAATTCATAGGTACTTATATTTTAGGCCATAAAGTCTTAAAAATTAATAAAAAGAATTTTCATTTTTCTTATAATCTATTTCACCGACTACTCCGTAAACACTATTGGATAACGATATCGTATTCGAATCCGAATCGACGGTTTAACTCGAATGTTCTGAATAGCCCGGAAAACGCTCTTCGATTCGAGAACGATATCCAATCGGACGATTAAGTTAAAATATCGAAGAATTCTAAATCGGGGGGGCAGGTCAGACAGAGCACAGTGTGTTATTTTACTTTAGTTGCGGACATCCTCGATCTCGTTTTATGTTCGATTTCAATAGGTTGAATCTGTAGTGTAAGCACATAATTGTACTATATACTATATACATTAGACAATATAAGTTTACACTGCGGCCCGCCGTTGCCGCACTACGACACTAGATAGTGGTGTGAGCGGACGTATCGCACGTGTACGTGAAGTAAACACATGTTGTTTCGTTGAGCTATCCCTAAGTAGCGTAAACGCCACAAATGGCGACGAGGATAAATAACGTGAGTAGAATTAATAATATTTCGAAATGTCGTCGAGGTTATCAGCTCCGACTCAATTTTGTTAAAAAAAAAAGAAAGAAGTGGAGATATGTATCACGATTTCAAATCATTAGAATCCATTTCACTAATACATATAAATATAATATCTGCCTATTGGAAGTATATGCCATGCGTGAGTTGAAATGATTGTCCATTAAATAACATGTTAGCCGCATACCATGGTGTACTACACCCGTGTCGTATTCTATTAGCTCGACAAATGATATGAACAAACTGATACCGTTGGCTACTAAACTAGCCAAAAACACAAGTGCCTGCTAATACTTACAAAAAAAAATATTCTCATTGTTGTGTAGTTTGTATTGCCTGTATTGAAATTGCTAACTTACATTGCGTAATTACATATGAACTACAAATTACGATGTTCCCATACGATTATACGTAATATGTGAGTGACTTTACAGGGGAATTGATATCCAGAGTAGATTTGTTGCTTGCAATTTAAACAAACTTCATGTTAAACATATGTAACAAAAAAAATAAAAGCAAATAAATTTTGACCAACTTTATGCTATTAATTCAGCAGTGCAAATACTTTCTTTGCTAATTAGACATGGCCTGCAAATCGCATTTTTGTGTAAGCAGCAGCTCACATTTTGTTTACATTTAAGTAAACATTTTTGTTACTATATTAAATTACTAGATACCTACTCATTGAATGACTGGTTTACTCTGTCCTTTCAAAAAACTAATTTATAACAACATTCCCAGCGTTTGTTGGCAATAATTTGGTAATTATCATTAAGTAGTAATGTTAGAAATAATAAAGTACAATCAGCAACATCTAAAAGAAAAAATGTTTTCAATAAATACGGTTGATATTGATAAAACCGACTACACAACAACAAATAGTGCCTGTAAATATTAGCCGAATAGAACAACAAATACGAAGGAGTGAAAACACCTTGAGTGCCCCATAAGGTGAAAATTGTAATGTTTTTATAAGTAATGGAAATTACTTATAAAAATCATAAGTCAGTTTACAGGGTCCGTCCCAAAAGTATCGAACATTTTTTTTGGGAGTGTTGCCGAACGGCGGGAAGCGCTCCGCTTGGCAACAGAAAGTGGTGGGGGGATGTAGCCTATACAGCGCGACCGGTCCCAGTTGGCTCCGAGCACCTGGAGCGGCAGGACGTGCGTTCGCGTAGAGCTCTAAACGACACCTCGTCGAAGTTTTTAAAAGTAGCGCGATGACGGATCCGTTAGAACAGAGGTACGCAGTGAAATTTTGTGTTCTACTCGGCAAAAATACTGTGGAAACCAACGAGATGATTAAACAGGCCTTCAAGGACAAAGCCTTGTCCGAATCCTCGGTCAGGAAGTGGCACAAGATGTTCCGTGACGGAAGGGAAGAGGTGACCGACGAAGCCCGCTGGTCCCGCAGCCTCCCTACAGTCCTGACGTCGCCCCGGCAGACTTCTTCTTGTTTCCCAGCATCAAGTCGAAGCTCAAAGGCAAGCATT